TTGAGAACCTGCTAGACTCAAGGAAAGATTGATGTCAACACACATGGAGATCTCCAAGGGACACCAAGGTCACAGGGGAAGAGTCAGGAGTGGAAGTTGTTAACGTGAGCTTGGGTAGGTCTGAAGTCCCTAGGTGATGCAGTCAATATGCTCAGCAGGAACCAAAAGGTTGGAAGTTCACTCAGAGGTGCCTCCAAAGAAAGGCCTGGTGATCAACTTCAGGAGAAAAAACCCCAGTCATTGGAAACTCTGGAGTACTGTCCTCTATGAAGTTGCTATGAATAGAAGTGGACTTGAAGGGGACTTGTTAGTGGGCATAGAACCCAACAATGAAGAACATTCTTTCTCCCCACCCTCTGCCTGAGCACTTTTCTTTTGTAATTTACATTCAGTTTAGTCTTTCTGTTGTTTTCAAATGCAACTACTGACTTAACTTATAAGGCTCCCCAAATCCTGGTTTTTATTTTGGTTCTCTCAAGAGAGGATGCCACCCCAGTTGGGGGATGGGGAAGCTTCCCCAGGGCTGTCCAGTTTTGCCATCTCTCCTTCACTACTGGTACCACAGAGTCCCACCTCCAAACCACTTAGCCTGTGCAAGAGCGGAGGCAACCCCTGAGGTCTAGGGGGCTGCTACCCCTCAGGGGCAGGTAAGGGCCCAGGAGGGTCCGTATTGGGTTGGAGATACCTCTGAGGCAGCCAGTGCAGGCCTCTTTTTTTTCTGGTCACTCTTCTGCTGACAATTTCTGCCTCTTTCCCCCCATTGTTGGGACTCTTTCCAACAATGCTCTGAACACCTCTTCTCACGTTCCATGTCCCTCTGAGCCAAGGCAAGCTCACCCAGCTTCAGACAGGACAATTCTGTTTTTCAGGAGAGTGCCATGTACTGAGTGAAGGCCTCAACTGTGCCCCTTAGTCACCAGGACAAGAGGCGTGCAGCACAGCTCAGCAAAGAAGCTACAGCTCTGTGGGAAACGGACCAAGAAGAGAGTGCATGCAGACAAACTCTCAACATTCACACGTTAAGGAGTCTGGGAGGCCAAGGTTCCTGTGGAGGAAACCTTCACGTTCGTGGGTTGGAGATGCGTTCCACTCATATTCTCCTATGTAAAAGTTATTCCCCTCAATGCCCCCCCCCCCAAATAATGCCAAATCTAAGGTGTTATTTGCAAACTCATGATCAGGACTATGCACTTGGAGGTCAACTGCTTGAAGGTTATCTATCTGCCTGGAGGTTGTCAGCCAACTAAGGCAATCAGATCTTATTGTCTGTTCCACCCAAAGTAGGGCCTACTCCCTTGTCTGATAAGGATCATGGATTGTCCCCTTGAGGGAGCCCAAAGACTCCTAAAGCCAAGCCAACTCAGGGACGTCCAAGGTTAGACTGCTATCTTGACTCTAGAGCCCACCTATCCACCTATCGTGTTACCTGTATGCC